GGTGTGCGTTATTTGCCCCCCGGGTGCGTTATTTCCCCCAGGTGGTGCGTTATTTCCCCCCCGTGTGCGTATTCGCCCCCCGTGTGCGTTATTTGCCCCCAGGTGTGCATTATTTCCCCCCGTGTGCGTTATTTCCCCCCTGTGTGCGTTATTCACCCCCGCGTTACCGCAGCGATGGCCGCCAGCAGCAGCAGCGCCAGGAGGAGGCAGAGGAGGCGAGGAAGAGCAGGGGGCACCCGGGGGGCGGGGTCTGGGCGGGGCCTGGGGGGGCGTGGCCAGAATGGAGAGGGCGTGGTCAGGGTCAGGCCAGGCCCACCGAGCTCCGTGGCCCCGCCCACAGCGCTTAAACCCCGCCCCCCTCCTCACCTGCCCCCCCGCCTTGGGGGCGCGTCCTCGGTGATGTCATCGCTGACGTCATCGCCGACGTCATGGCGGCGAGTGGAGGGGGCGGAAGCCCAGCAGGGGCTGCTCCGCCCCCGTGGTGACGTCATCGGTGACGTCGTCTGTGACGTCGTCGTCATCGGGGCCCGGGGGGGCGGTCCAAGGGCAGGAAGGGCGTGACGTCATCGTCGGCGGTGACGTCATCGGCGGGTGACGTCGTCGGCGAGGGTCGTCCCAGGTGGCGTCGAGGTCCCCAGTGACGTCACCCAGCAGGGAGGAAGTGACATCATCCGGCGGTGATGACTGTCATCGGCGGGGAGGGGCCGCGGGCCGGGGAAGGTGACGTCATCGTCGTCCTCGGTGACGTCATCGGGGAGGTTGTCCTGGTGAATGACGTCATCGAGGAGATGCCCGCCGGGGATGGCATCATCAATGACGTCATCGCTGGGAAGGGGAGGGGTGTGGCGGATGGCGATGACATCATCGATGACGTCGGTCCCGATTGTGACGTCATCATCCCCAGGGAGCGCGGGCTGTGACGTCACCCCAGGCGATGACGTAATCGGGGAAGCCGCGCTCGATGACGTCATCGGCGTCGTCGCTCTCGTGGGCAATGACGTCATCGGCGAGGTCATGCAAGGTGATGACGTCATCTGTGACGTCATCCAGGTCACGCGGGTGGTCACTCTTGGTGGTGACGTCATCGGTGAGGTCACGGCTGACGATTACGTCATTGATGATGTCACACCCGGGGGCGATGACGTCACCGTCGATGCCACTCCCATGGCGGGTGTCAATGACATCACTTCCGGTGATGACGTCACTAACGAGAGTTTCCTCCGGCACACAGGAAGTGACGTCACCGGCGGGGGGAGGGGAGGGGCTGCCCCGCCCCTCTGTGACATCACCGCCCTCCCCAGCAGTGAAGATGTCATAGACAATGACGTCATCCTCGAGGGGCTCCTCCTCCTCGGGGGGCGGGGCCACCACGGTGATGGTGATGCCACCGGCCCGGCAGGTGACAGCGCCGTCCCCAAGGTCCCCAATGTTCCCCAATGTCCCCAAGGTCCCCAATGTCCCCAAGGTCCCCAATGTCCCCAAAACCCTGAGTGTCCCACTGTCCCAGTGTCCCCGATGTCCCCGTCCCCTCTGTCTCTGTCCCCAGTGTCCCCCTGGGCGGTGCCATCGCTGTCCCCGCTGTCCCCTGGGACTGGGACACTCCTGTCCCAAGGTCCTGCAGGACGGGGACGTTGCTGTCCCCAAGGTCCCTTAGGGCCAAGGCTTGAGTGTCCCCAATGTCCCCGTCCCCAATGTCCCCAATGTCCCCAATGTCCCCAAGGTCCCTGTCCCCTCTGTTTCTGTCCCCAGTGTCCCCAGTGTCCCCAATGTCCCCAGGGTCCCTGATATCCCTGTCCCCAGGAGTGGGGACACCGCTGTCCCAAATGTCCCAAGGGATGGTGGCACCCCTGTCCCCAACGTCCCTGTCCCCGATGTCTGCAGGGTGGGGACAGCCCTGTCCCCAATGTCCCCCGATGTCCCCCATGTCCCCAGTGTCCCCAATGTCCCCAATGTCTTTGTCACACAGGATGGGGACACCGCCCTGTCCCCCATCCATAGCGACCGTGATGTCCCCAAGTCCTCCATGTCCCCAATGTCCCCAAGGTCCTCCATGTCCCCAAGGTTCTTGATGTCTTTGATGTCCCCAATGCCTTTGATGTCCCCAACATCCCCAACGTCCTCGGTGCCTTTGATGTCCCCAATGACCCCAAAGTCCCAAAGTCCCCAACGTTCTTGATGTCCCCAGTGTCCCCAAGGTTCTTGATGTCCCCAATGTCCCCAATGTCCCCAAGGTTCTCAAAGCTTTGATGGCCCCCAATATCTTTGATGTCCCCAATGTCCCCAATGTTCTTGCTGTCCTCAGTGCCTTTGATGTACCCGATGTCCCCAATGTCCTCAGTGCCTTTGATGTCCCAAGGTTCTTGACGTCCCCAACGTCCTCAGTGCCTTTGGTGTCCCCAATGTCCCCAAGATTCTTGATGTCCCCAATGGTCCCCAAGGGTCTTGATGTCCTCCATGTCCCCAATGTCCCCCATGTCCTCAATGCCTTTGATGTCCCCAGCATCCCCCACGTCCTTGATGTCCCCAATATTTTTGATGTCCCCAATGTCCCCAAGATTCTTGATGTCCTCCATGTCCCCAATGTCCCCGATGTCCCCAATGTCCTCAATGCCTCTGATGTCCCAGCATTCCCCACATCCTTGATGTCCCCAATATTTTTGATGTCCCCAATGTCCCCAAGCTTCTTGATGTCCCCAAGGTTCTCCAAGCCTTTGATGTCCCCAATGCCCCCAATGTCCCCAATGTCCTCCAAGCCTTTGATGTCCCCAATGCCCCCAAGGTTCTTGATGTCCCCAGACATTCCTGGTGCCTTTGATGTCCCCAATGCCTTTGATGTCCCCAGTGATGTCCCCAATGATGTCCCCAGTGACGTCCCCAGTGATGTCCCCAATGTCCCCAGTGACGTCCCGAGTGATGTCCCCAATGTCCCCGGTGATGTCCCCAGTGATGTCCCCAATGTCCCCAGTGATGTCCCCAATGTCCCCGGCAATGTCCCCAATGTCCCCGGCGATGTCCCCGAGCTCCTCGTGGGCGGGCGCCGCGGTGACGGTGATGGTGATGCCGCTGGCCCAGGGGGTGACGGTGACGGTGCCACCCCCGGTGCCACCCCCGGGCTGTCCCCAGGTGGGGGGCGGGGCCCGGCTCTGTCACCTGCCCGGGGGGGGACACCAGGGGGGGATGGGCCGCCCTCGGCCATGGGGACACCTGGGGACAGAGGGGACAGAGGGGACGTCACCAGGGGGGGACACGGGGGAGTGACACAGGGGACACCAAGGGGACACCAAGGGGACACTTGGGTACCTGAGGTGGCCGCAGGTGACACACAGGTGACAATGAGGTGACACAGGTGACACGCAGGTGATACAGAGAGGACACACAGGTGGCACAGAGGTGACACAGAGGTGACAGTGAGGTGACACACAGGTGACACAGAGGACACAGAGGGTACCTGAGGTGGCCACAGGTGACACAGAGGTGACACACAGGGTACCTGAGGTGACACAGGTGACACACAGGTGACACAGATGTGACATGGGTGACACACAGGTGACACAGAGGTGACACAGGTGACAATGAGGTGACACACAGGGTACCTGAGGTGACACAGGGTGACACACAGGTGACACAGAGGGTACCTGAGGTGGCGCAGGTGACACAGAGGTGACACAGATGTGACACAGAGGTGACACACAGGTGACACAGATGTGACATGGGTGACACAGGTGACAATGAGGGTACCTGAGGTGGCCGCAGGTGACACAGAGGTGACACACAGGTGACAATGAGGTGACACAGGTGACACACAGGTGACACACAGGTGACACAGAGGTGACAATGAGGGTACCTGAGGTGGCCGCAGGTGACACACACAGGGTGACAATAAGGTGACACAGGTGACACAGATGTGACCACAGGTGACACTGAGGGTACCTGAGGTGGCCGCAGGTGACTCCGCTGCCCCCCGGGGGGGGTCCCGAGGCCGATCTGGGGCTCCCCAACCCAAATTTGGGTTTTTGGGTCTCGGCAGCTCCGGCTCTGAGCCCGAGGGGGCGGGGCCTGAGCAATGAGGCCACGCCCCCTCTTTAACCCCCGCCCCCTTAAGGAGGCCACAACCTCATTAAATTAAATTAAATTAATTAAATTATTTAATAAATAAATTTTAATTTATTTACAAATCCAGACTGTTTTATGTTATTTATAAATTTGATTTTATCTATTAATTAAACCCAGACCATTTAATTTTATTTAATTCATAAACAAAGTTTATATTGTTTATTAATAACCCCACACAATTTTATTTTACAAATAGATTTTATTTTATTTAGCAATAAACACAGACCATTTTAGTTTTATTTTATTCTATTTTATTTTGTGTTTTTTTACTTATTTTATATTATTTTATTTTATTTTATTTTATTTTATTTTATTTTATTTTATTTATTAATAAACCCAGATTATTTAATTTAACTTAATTTAATTTAATTTAATTTTACTTTATTTTATTTTATTTTATTTTATTTTACTTTATTTTATTTTATTTTATTTACTAATAAACTCAAATTATTTCATTTTATTTTATTTATTAATAAACCTAGACTATTGTATTTTATTTTATTTTATTTTATTTTATTTATTAATAACCCCAGACTATTTAATTTAATTTAATTTAATTTAATTTAATTTAATTTAATTTAATTTCATTTCATTTCATTCCATTTATTAACAAACCCAGACCACTTCATTTCATTTTATTCGCTTTATTTATCTCATAAATAATTTTAATTCATTTATTTAAACCCCTACCGGGGGTCTCCAGCCCTCCAGGCTCCGCTCCAGCCGGGCCAGCTCCTCTCGGGCCTGGGGAGGAAGGGGTTAATGACCATTAATGACCATTAATGAGCGTTAATGAGCGTTAATGAGGGCAGCCTAACGAGGGCCAGCCCCACCCCCGCCTAATTAACGCTGCTAATTAAGGCTCCTCCGGTAACGAACCTGGTGCTGCTGGGCCCCCCTGAGGCTGCGCAGGCGGGGAGCGGAGCTGGGCCCGGGCGGCGTCGGGATCCACCAGGCCCTGGGGGGACCCCAAAATGTCACTGGGGACCCCAAAAACCCCCCCGGGACCCCCAAAATGTCACTGGGGGACCCCAAAACCCCCCGGGACCCCCAAAATGTCACTGGGGGACCCCAAAATCCTCCCGGGACCCCCAAAAACACCCCTGGGACCCCAAAAACACCCCTGGGACCCCCAAAATGTCACTGGGGGACCCCAAAATCCTCCCCGGGACCCCCAAAAATCCCCCCTGGGGCCCCCAAGCTCCGCCCCCCGAGCCCGGCCCCGCCCTCACCCTGGATCCGCAGGTGCACGAAGGCTCCGGAAGCCGCCTTAGCCCCCGCCCAGCCCGGCCCGGCTCCGCCCCCAAGGGGAGGAGCTCCACAGGCCCCGCCCTTGAGAGCGTCTGGAAGGCGGGGGGCCGAGCTGCTCCAGCCAATCATGAGCCGGCTCCGGGATCTGCACCAGCACTGAGGGGGGGAAACCACGCCCACAACATGGCTGCCACCGTGGGGCGCCATTTTGGGGCGCCATTTTGGGGCAGGAAGGGGCGCACTGGGATATGGACACTCCCCAAAGCATGCTGGGACTTGTAGTGGGTGGGAACCCACGGCAGCCATCTTGGCTCCCCCAAAGCACGCTGGGATTTGTAGTCTGTGTATGATCCGCCATTTTGTCTACCCCAAAGCATGCTGGGGATTTGCAGTTTACATATGATCCGCCATTTTGTCTCCCGCAAACCATGCTGGGATTTATAGTCTGTTATGATCCGCCATTTTGTCTACCCCAGAGCATGCTGGGATTTGCAGTTTTACATATGATCCGCCATTTTGTCTCCCGCAAACATGCTGGGATTTGGAGTCTGTGTATGATCGGCCATTTTGTTTCCTCCCAAAGCATGCTGGAATTTGTAGTTTATATACGATCCGCCATTTTGTATCCCGCAAAACATGCTGGATTTGGAGTCTGTGTATGATCCGCCACCCCAAAGCATGCTGGGATTTGTAGTTTACATATGATCGGCCATGTTTTCCCCCCTCCCCCCAAGGCATGCTGGGATTTGTAGTCCCGCCCACCCCAGGGCATGCTGGGAGCCGCAGCCCCGCCCCCCCCCGGGGCTCACCTGGGGGTCTCGCGGCCCCCCCGAGCCTGAGGGTCTCGCGCAGGCCCCGCACGGCCCGGACCAGCTCCAACATGGCCGCCACGCGCGCCTCCAGCTCGGGGCAGCGCCAGTGGGCCTGGGGAGGGGGAAACGGGGGGGTGAGACCCCCGGGGACACCAAAAAAACCACACAGGAGCTCCCAGTGCCTTCCGGTGACTCCCGGTGTCTCCCAGTGGTTCCCATTGGCTCCCAGCATCTCCCATTTGCTCCCATTGGCTCCCAGTGTCTCCCAGTATCTCCCAATTGCTCCCAGTTGCTCCCATTGGCCCCCGAATGCCCTCCCAGTGTCTCCCAATGGCTCCCAGTTGCTCCCAGCATCTCCCGGTGTCTCCCATTGGCTCCCAGTGGCCCCCAAACGCCCTCCCGGTGCCTCCCAGTGCCTCCCAGTGGCTCCCAGTTTCTCCCAGCATCTCCCATTGGCTCCCATTGGCTCCCAGTTGCTCCCATTGGCTCCCAGTTTCTCCCAGCATCTCCCATTGGCTCCCAGTTGCTCCCAGTGGCTCCCATTGGCTCCCAGTGGCTCCTGGTGTCTTCCAGTGGCTCCCGGTGGCTCCCAGTGCCTCCCAGTGCGTCCCATTGGCTCCCAGTGTCTCCCAGTATCTCCCATTGGCCCCCAGTTGCTCCCAGTGTCTCCCATTGTCTCCCAGTATCTCCCAGTGTCTCCCAGTGTCCCCCAGTGCCTCCCAGTGCTCACCAGTCGGGCGGGCTCGGGGAACGGGGCCAGGCTGACGCTGGGGGGCGCGGGGGCGGCGCGGGGCAGGCGCTGCCAGAGCTCCTCGGCCACGAAGGGGGCGAAGGGGGCCAGGAGGCGCAGCCCCAGCTCGGCCGCGGCCGCCAGCGTGGCCTGGGCGCTGGGACGGAGCCGCGGGCACTGCAGCGACACCTTGGCCACCTCCTGGGGAAGGAAATGCCAAAATGGGGTGAGAAATCGTGAATTTGGGACTGCAGCGACACCTTGGGCACCTCCTGGGGAAGGAAATGCCGAAATTGGGGTGAGAAATTGTGAAATTGGGACAGAAATCCCGAAATTGGGACTGCAGGGACACCTTGGGCACCTCCTGGGGAAGGGAATGCCGAAATTGGGGTGAGAAATCGTGAAATTGGGACAGAAATGCCGAAATTGGGGTGAGAAATTGTGAAATTGGGAGAGAAATCCTGAAATCTAGAGAGAAACCCCGAAATTGGGACTGCAGGGACACCTTGGGCACCTCCTGGGGACAGAAATCCCGAAATTGGGACAGAAATCCTGAAATCGGGACAGAAATCCTGAAATCCAGAGAGAAACCCCAAAATCTGGACAGAAATCCCGAAATCGGGAGAGAAACCCCGAAATCGGGACTGCAGGGACACCTTGGGCACCTCCTGGGGACAGGAAATGCCAAAATTGGGGTGAGAAATCGTGAAATTGGGACAGAAATGCCGAAATTGGGAGAGAAATTGTGAAATCAGGACAGAAATCCTGAAATTGGGACAGAAATTGTGAAATCGGGAGAGAAATCCTGAAATTGGGTGAGAAATCCCAAAATTGGGAGAGAAATCCCAAAATCGGGACTGCAGGGACACCTTGGCCACCTCCTGGGGAAGGAAATGCCGAAATTGGGGTGAGAAATCGTGAAATTGGGACAGAAATTGTGAAATTGGGAGAGAAATCCTGAAATTGGGACAGAAATCCTGAAATTGGGGTGAGAAATTGTGAAATTGGGAGAGAAATCCCAAAATTGGGACTGCAGGGACACCTTGGGCACCTCCTGGGGACGGAAATCCCGAAATTGGGACAGAAATTGTGAAATCGGGAGAGAAATCCTGAAATTGGGAGAGAAATCCTGAAATTGGGACTGCAGGGACACCTTGGCCACCTCCTGGGGAAGGGAACGTCAGAATGGGGTGAGAAATCCCAAAATTGGGACAGAAATCCCGAAATCGGGACAGAAATCCTGAGATCTAGAGAGAAACCCTGAAATCGGGACTGCAGGGACACCTTGGCCACCTCCTGGGGACAGGAAACGCCGAAATTGGGGTGAGAAATTGTGAAATCGGGACAGAAATGCCGAAATTGGGGTGAGAAATTGTGAAATCGGGACAGAAATCCCAAAATGGGGTGAGAAAATTGTGAAATCGGGACAGAAATCCCGAAATTGGGTGAGAAATTGTGAAATTGGGGCTGCAGGGACACCTTGGCCACCTCCTGGGGAAGGGAATGCCGAAATTGGGGTGAGAAATCGTGAAATTGGGACTGCAGGGACACCTTGGCCACCTCCTGGGGATGGAAACGCCGAAATTGGGGTGAGAAATCGTGAAATTGGGACAGAAATGCCGAAATTGGGGTGAGAAATTGTGAATTTGGGACTGCAGGGACACCTTGGGCACCTCCTGGGGAAGGGAACGCCGAAATTGGGGTGAGAAATTGTGAAATTGGGACAGAAATGCCGAAATTGGGGTGAGAAATTGTGAAATCGGGACTGCAGGGACACCTTGGGCACCTCCTGGGGAAGGGAAACGTCGAAATTGGGGTGAGAAATTGTGAATTTGGGACTGCAGGGACACCTTGGCCACCTCCTGGGGAAGGAAATGCCGAAATTGGGGTGAGAAATCGTGAAATTGGGACAGAAATTGTGAAATTGGGTGAGAAATTGTGAAATCGGGAGAGAAATCCTGAAATTGGGACTGCAGGGACACCTTGGGCACCTCCTGGGGACAGGAACGTCAGAATGGGGTGAGAAATCCCAAAATTGGGGTGAGAAATTGTGAAATCAGGACAGAAATCCTGAAATCGGGACAGAAATCCCGAAATTGGGTGAGAAAATTGTGAAATCAGGACTGCAGGGACACCTTGGCCACCTCCTGGGGAAGGAAATCCCGAAATTGGGACAGAAATCCTGGGGTGGTTTTGGGGTAATTTTTGGGGGTGGTATTGGGGTAATTTTTGGGGTAGTTTTGGGGGTAATTTTGTGGTGGTTTTGGGGTCATTTTCGGGGCAGTTTCAGGGTGATTTTTGGAGTAATTTTTGGGGTAGTTTTGGGGCAATTTTGGGGTGATTTTTGGGGTAGTTTTGGGGTGATTTTTGGGTTCATTTTTGGGGTGATTTTTAGGGTGGTTTTGGGGTGATTTTTGGGGCAAATTTTGGGGTAATTTTGTGGTGGTTTTGGGGTCATTTTTAGGGCAGTTTTTGGGGTGATTTTTGGGGCAGTTTTGGGGTGATTTTCGGGACAATTTTGGGGCAGTTTTTGGGTGATTTTCAGGTCAGTTTTTGGGGTGATTCTCGGGGTAGTTTCAGGGTGATTTTTGGGGTGATTTTTGGGTTCATTTTTGAGGTGATTTTCGGGGCAGTTTCGGGGTGATTTTTGGGGTAATTTTTGGGTGATTTTCAGGGCAGTTTTTGGGTGATTTTCGGGGCAGTTTTGGGGTGATTCTCGGGGCAGTTTTTGGGGTGATTTTTGGGGCATTTTTGGGGTCATTTTTGGGGTAATTTTGGGATAATTTTTGGGGTGATTTTTGGGGTGATTTTTGGGTGATTTTCAGGGCAGTTTTTGGGTGATTTTTGGGGTACTTTCAGGGTGATTTTTGGGGCATTTTTTGGGGCGGTTTTGGGGCATTTTTTTGGGTGATTTTCGGGGCAGTTCCGGGGTAATTTTTGGGGTACTTTCAGGGTGATTTTTGGGGCATTTTTTGGGGTGATTTTCAGGTCAGTTTTTGGGGTACTTTCCGGGTGATTTTGGGTCATTTTTGGGCTCCCATACCAGGTAAACGTCGCAGAAGCTCCGCAGCCAGAAGCTCTGCACGGCGGCCACGGCCCCGTGAACCTCCAGGGCCTCCAACCTGCGGCCGCACTCGGCCACGGCCCCGGCCAGGCGGGCCAGGAGCCACCGGTCCATGGGGGCCTCCGGGAGCACCTGGAACGGGGAAATCGGGGTGAAAAATGGAGAATTTGGGTCATTTGGGGTGAAAATGGGGAAATTGGGGGTGAAAATGGGGAATTTGGGGTGAAAAACGGGGAAATTGGGGTGAAAATGGGGAAATTGGGGTGAAAATGGGGAAATTGGGGTGAAAATGGGGAAATTGGGGTGAAAATGGGGAAATTGGGGTGAAAATGGGGAAATTGGGGTGAAAAACGGGGAATTTGGGGTGATCTGGGATTGGGGAGGGGCTCAGAGCTGGGCCAGGAGCCAGAGATCCATGGGGGCCTCTGGGAGCACCTGGAACGGGGAAATCGGGGTGAAAAATGGGGAAATTGGGGTGAAAAAACGGGGAATTTGGGGTGAAAAATGGGGAAATTGGGGTGAAAAACGGGGGGAAATTGGGGGTGAAAACGGGGAAATTGGGGTGAAAAATGGGGAAATGGGGGCAGCTGGGGTGAAAAATGGGGGAATTTGGGTGAAAAACGGGGAAATTGGGGTGATCTGGGATTGGGGAGGGGCCTCAGAGCTGGGCCAGGAGCCAGCGATCCATGGGGCCTCTGGGAGCACCTGGAACGGGGAAATGGGGGTGAAAAATGGAGAATTTGGGTCATTTGGGGGCAAAAACGGAAAATTGGGGTGAAAAACGGGGAATTTGGGGTGAAAAACGGGGGAATTTGGGGGTGATCGGGGATTGGGGAGGGGGGCTCAGAGCTGGGCCAGGAGCCACCGGTCCATGGGCGCCTCTGGGAGCACCTGGAACGGGGAAATTGGGGTGAAAAAATGGAGAATTTGGGGTGAAAATGGGGAAATTGGGGCAGCTGGGGAGAAAAACGGGGAATTTGGGGTGAAAAAAGGGGAATTTGGGTGATCTGGGGTTGGGGAGGGGCCTCAGAGCTGGGCCAGGAGCCACCGGTCCATGGGGGCCTCTGGGAGCACCTGGAACGGGGAAATCGGGGTGAAAAACGGGGAAATTGGGGTGAAAACGGGGGAAATTGGGGCAGCTGGGGCGAAAAACGGGGAATTTGGGGTGAAAAAATGGGAAATTTGGGACATTTGGGGGCAAAACCCAGGAAATTTGGGTGATCTGGGGATAAAACCCCACAAAATTGGGGTGATCTGGGATGTTTTGGGGATTTTCAGGGGGTAATTTTGGGGTTTTTGGGGTCCCCGTTACCTCCTCGGGGGCTCTCAGGGGGTCCCTGGGGTGTTTTTGGGGTAATTTTGGGGTTTTTGGGGTCCCTGGGGTGTTTTTTGGGGTAATTTTGGGGTTTTTGGGGTCCCATTACCTCCTCGGGGGCTCTCGGGGGGGTCCCTGAGGTGTTTTTGGGGGGTTTAGGGGTGTCCCTGAGGTGTTTTTGGGGTGTTTTTGGGGTTTTCAGGTGGGTGTTTTTGGGGGTGTTTTTTGGCGTAATTTTGGGGTCCCTGGGGTGTTTTTGGGGTGTTTTTGGGGTTTTTGGGGTCCCCTTTTACCTCCTCGGGGGTTCTCGGGGGGGTCCCTGTGTTTTTGGGGTGTTTTTGGGGTAATTTTGGGGTTTTCAGGTGGTGTTTTTTGGGGGTGTTTTTAGGGTCCCTGGGGTGTTTTTTGGGGTGTTTTTGGGGTGTTGTTGGGGTCCCCTTTTACCTCCTCGGGGGCTCTTGGGGGCTCCCCGCGCCCCTGCCCCGCCCTCAGCACGAACCCCAGCGCGTTCCAGATTTTGTTGCAGAAGCGGCGCTGGGCCAGCACCGAGGCCACGCCCACCCCGATTTCGGGGCCTGGGGGGGCGGAAATTGGGGTCAGGGGGGGCACTGGGACCCCAAGGACCCCCCAAAACCCTCAGGACCCCCCAAAACCACCCAGGACCCCCCAAAATCCCCAGGAGTCCCCAAAACCACCCAGGACCCTCCAGGACCCTCAGACCCACCCCAGGACTCCCCAAAACCCCCCAGAACCCTCAGGACCCCCCCAAAATTCCCCAGGACCCCCCAAAACCATCAGGACCCCCCCCCAGGACCCCCCAAAACCCCTCAGGACCCCCCAAAACCACCCAGGATCCCCCAAAATCCCCAGGACCCCCCAAAACCCTCAGGACCCTCCAGGACCCTCAGACCCACCCCAGGACCCCCCAAAACCCCCAGGACCCTCAGAACCCCCCCCAAAATCCCCCAGGACCCCCCAAAACCATCAGGACCCCCCCCAGGACCCCCCAAAACCCCTCAGGACACCCCAGGACCCCCCCAGAACCCCCCAAAACCCCCAGAAGCTTCTCCCAGTATTCCCAGTGGTCCCAGTGGGATTTTGGGGTCCCAGTTTGGATTTTGGGGGTCCCTGGGTGGATTTTGGGGGGGTCCCAGAGGGATTTGGGGAGGGGTTCCCAGTGGGATTTTGGGGGTCCCTGGGTGGATTTTGGGGTTCAGGAGGATTTTGGGAGGGGTCCCAGAGGGATTTTGGGGTATTTTGGGGGGATTTGGGGGTATTTTGGGGGGATTTTGGGGGGATTTTGGGGTATTTTGGGGGCATTTTGGGTATTTGGGTGGATTTTGGGGTATTTTGGGGTATTTGGGGTGGGGGTCTCACCGTGGGCGTTGTGGCTGCTCAGGGCCAGGGGGTCCCTGGGTGGATTTTGGGAGGTCCCAGAAGGATTTTGGGGTATTTTGGGGGGATTTTGGGGGATTTTGGGGGTATTTTGGGGTATTTTGGGGTATTTTGGGGGTATTTTGGGGGGATTTTGAGGGGATTTTGGGGTATTTTGGGGGGATTTTGGGGTATTTGGGGTGGGGGTCTCACTGTGGGCATTGTGGCTGCTCAGGGCCAGGGGGTTCCTGGGTGGATTTTGGGAGGTCCCAGAGGGATTTTGGGGTATTTTGGGGGGATTTGGGGTATTTTGGGTGGATTTTGGGGTATTTTGGGGGTCCCTGGGTGGATTTTGGGGTATTTTGGGGGTATTTTGGGGCATTTTGGGGTATTTTGGGTGGGGGTCTCACCGTGGGCGTTGTGGCTGCTCAGCGCCAGCCTCAGGGCGTCGGCGCCGCACTCGGGGATCCCCTGCGGGAACTGACGGCTCTGGGGGGGATTTGGGGCAATTTTGGGCCATTTTGGGAAATTTAGGGAAATTTTGGGGGCTCAGAGGGAATTTGGGGGGATTTTGGGGGGATTTTGGGGGGGTTTTTGGGGGTCCCACCTGCCCCTCCTGGGCCGCCCGCAGCTCCTGCGGGTCCAGGGTTTGGGTCTGGAGCTTCTCCTGCAGCTCCTGGGGGAGGAAAAAACCCCAAAATCAGCCCCAAAATAGTCCCAAAATCAGCCCAAAATCAGCCCCAAAATCAGCCCCAAAATCAGGCCAAAATCAGCCCAAAATAGTCCCAAAATCAGCCCAAAACCCCCACAAAATTACCCCAAAATCAGCCCCAAAATCCCATCCAAAATCATCCCAAAACCCCCACAAAAGTACCTCAAAATCAGCCCCAAAATCAGCCCAAAATAGTCCCAAAATCACCCCAAAATCCCCACAAAATTACCCCAAAATCAGCCCTAAAATCCCATCCAAAATCAGCCCAAAACCCCCACAAAATTAGCCCAAAATCAACCCCAAAATCAGCCCAAAATGGTCTCAAAATCACCCCAAAATCAGCCCAAAATGACCCCAAAATCAACCCCAAAATCGGCCCCAAAATCACCCCAAAACCCCCACAAAATTGCCCCAGAATTACCTCAAAGTCAGCAAAAAATGACCCCAAAAACCCCAAAATAACCTCAAAATCAGCCCAAAATCACCCTAAAAATCACCCTAAAAATTGCCCCAAATCCACCCCAAAATCAACCCCAAAATGACCCCAAAAACCACCCCAAAACCAGCCCCAAAATGACCCCAAAATCAGCCCCAAAACCAGCCCCAAAATCAACCCAAAATCCCAAAACGACCCCAAAATCACCACAGAACTGCCCCAAGCCCGAGGAATTTTGGGGGTTTTTTTTAGGGTTTTTGGGTTTTTTTGGGGTCTGGCGGTTTTTGGGTCTGGGGGTTTCAGGGTCGGGGTTTTTTGGGTCTGGGGGTTTTTTGGGTCTGGGGTATTTGGGTGGGGTTTTTTTGGGTCTGGGGGTTTTGGGGTCGGGGTTTTTTGGGTCTGGGGTATTTTGGGGCGGGGTTTTTTGGGTCTGGGGGTTTCAGGGTTGGGGTTTTTTGGGTCTGGGGTATTTTGGGTCGGGGTTTTTTGGGTCTGGGGGTTTTGGGGTCGGGGTTTTTTGGGTCTGGGGTATTCGGGTCGGGGTTTTTTGGGTCTGGGGGTTTCAGGGTTGGGGTTTTTTGGGTCTGGGGGTTTTCGGGTCGGGGTTTTTTGGGTCTGGGGGTTTTGGGGTTTTTTTGGGGCGGGGTTTTTTGGGTCTGGGGTATTTTGGGTCGGGGTTTTTGGGTCTGGGGGTTTCAGGGTATTTTGGGGTGGGGTTTTTGGGGTTTTTTTGGGTCTGGGGTATTTTGGGTCGGGGTTTTTTGGGTCTGGGGGTTTCCGGGTCGGGGTTTTTTGGGTCTGGGGGTTTTTGGAGTTGAGGTTTTTTGGGTCTGGGGGTTTCAGGGGTATTTGGGGTGGGGTTTTTTTGGGTTTTTTGGGTCTGGGGTTTTCGGGTCGGGGTTTTTTGGGTCTGGGGGTTTCAGGGGTATTTGGGGCAGGGTTTTTTGGGTCTGGGGGTTTTGGGGTTTTTGGAGCGGGTTTTTTTTGGGTCTGGGGGTTTCAGGGTATTTTGGGGTGGGGTTTTTGGGGTTTTTTGGGTCTGGGGGTATTTCGGGTCGGGATTTTTTGGGTCTGGGGTTTTAGGGTCGGGGTTTTTTGGGTCTGGGGGTTTTTTGGGGTTGGGTTTTTTGGGTCTGGGGTATTCGGGTCGGGGTTTTTTGGGTCTGGGGGTTTCAGGGTCGGGGTTTTTTGGGTCTGGGGGTTTTAGGGTCGGGGTTTTTGGGGTACCTGGAGCGTGGCGCCCCCGATGAGGTCGCGGGGGTCGATGACGTTCCCCAGGGATTTGCTCATCTTGCGGCCCTGGGGGTCCCGCACCAGGGAGTGCAGCAGCACCTGGGGGGGCACCGGACACTGGCACCCCAAAAACGGGGAAAAGGAGCCCGAAAATGGGGAAAAGGAGCCCAAAAATGGAATCAGGGACCCCAAAAATGGGGATGGGGAGCCTGAAAAGGGGGAAAAAGAGCCCGAAAATGGGGAAAAGGAGCCCAAAAATGGGGAAAAGGAGACAAAAAATGGGGAAAAGGAGACAAAAAATGGGAATGGGGACCCCGAAAATGGGATCGGGGACCCCAAATATGGGGATGGGGAGCCTGAAAAGGGGGAAAAAGAGCCCGAAAATGGGGAAAAGGAGCCCAAAAATGGGGAAAAGGAGCCCGAAAATGGGGAAAAGGAGCCCAAAAATGGGGATGGGGAGCCTGAAAATGGGGAAAAGGAGCCCGAAAATGGGGATGGGGAGACCAAAAACGGGGAAAAGGAGCCCGAAAATGGGGAAAAGGAGCCCAAAAATGGGGAAAAGGAGCCCAAAAATGGGGATGGGGACCCTGAAAATGGGGATGGGGAGCCCGAAAATGGGGAAAAGGAGCCCAAAAATGGGGATGGGGAGCCCGAAAATGGGATCAGGGACCCCTAAAATGGGATCGGGGACCCCGAAAATGGGGATGGGGAGCCCGAAAATGGGGATGGGGACCCCCAGGGACATTTGGGGACACCAAGAACCCAACGAGAAACCCCAAATTTTGGGACCTTTGGGGACACCTGGGGACCCTTGGGGACCCCTGGGGACATTTGGGGACCCTTAGAGGACACCAAGAACCCAATGAGAAACCCCAAAACTCAACAAGAAACCCCAAAACCCAATGAGAAACCCCAAAACCCAACCAAACCCTTGGGAATTTGGGGATTTTGGGACCCTTGGGGACCCTTGGGGACATTTTGGGGACATTTTGGGACCCTTGGGGACATTTGGGGACCCTTGGGGACACCCTTGGGGACATCTGGGGACACCAAGAACCCAACGAGAAGCCCCAAAACTTGACCCAACCCTTGGGAATTTGGGGATTTTGGGACCTTTGGGGACACCTGGGGACACCTTGGGGACACCTGGGGACATTTTGGGACCCTTGGCGACACCAAGAACCCAATGAAAAACCCCAAAACCCAACGAGAAACCCCAAAACTTCACCCAACCCTTGGGAATTTGGGGATTTTGGGACCCTTGGGGACATCTGGGGACACCAAGAACTCAATGAGAAGCCCCAAAACCCAACCAAACCCTTGGGAATTTGGGGATTTTGCAAACTTTGGGGACCCCTGGGGACTTGGGGACATTTGGGGACATCGAGAACCCAACGAGAAGCCCCAAAACTCAACGAGAAACCCCAAAACCCAATGAGAAACCCCAAAACTTGACCCAACCCTTGGGAATTTGGGGATTTTGTGAACTTTGGGGACCCTTGGGGACCCATGGGGACCCTTGGGGACATTTGGGGACACCAAGAACCCAACGAGAAACCCCAAAACCCAACCAAACCTTTGAGAATTGGGGGATTTGGGGACCCTTGGGGACACCTGGGGACACCTGGGAACCCCTTGGGGACATTTTGGGACACACAGGGGACACCTGGGGACACCTGGGGACCCTTGGGGACATTTGGGGACACCTGGGGACCCTTGGCGACACCAAGAACCCAACGAGAAACCCCAAAACCCAACGAGAAACCCCAAAACTTGACCCAACCCTTGGGAATTTGGGGATTTTGGGACCCTTGGGGACACCTGGGGACCCTTAGGGGACACCAAGAACCCAACGAGAAACCCCAAAACTTGACCCAACCCTTGGGAATTTGGGAATTTTGGGACCTTTGGGGACACCTGGGGACCCCTGGGGACATTTGGGGACCCTTGGGGACACTTGGGGACCCTTGGGGACACCAAGAACCCAACGAGAAACCCCAAAACCCAATGAGAAGCCCCAAAACTTGACCCAACCCTTGGGAATTTGGGGATTTTGGGACCTTTGGGGACCCTTGGGGACACCTGGTGACCCTTGGGGACATCTGGGGACACCAAGAACCCAACGAGAAACCCCAAAACCCAACGAGAAACCCCAAAACTTGACCCAACCCTTGGGAATTTGGGGATTTTGGGACCTTTGGGGACACCTGGGGACCCTTGGGGACATTTTGGGGACACTTGGGGACATTTGGGGACACCCAGGGGACCCTTGGGGACACCCAGGGGACCCTTGGGGACCCTTGGGGACACCCAGGGGACCCTTGGGGACCCTTGGGGACCCTTGGGGACACCTGGGGACCCTTGGGGACACCAAGAACCCAATGAGAAACCCCAAAACTCAACAGAAACCCCAAAACTTGACCCAACCCTTGGGGATTTGGGGATTTTGGGACCCTTGAGGACACTTGGGGACATTTTGGGGACATTTTGGGGACATTTTGGGGACATTTTGGGACATTTAGGGCCAGTGACCTGTGTGAAGGGCAGCTGCCCCGTCAGCCGCTGGCCCAGCATGGCCATCCTGGCCACCCAGAAGAAGAGGAGGTCACTGCCCGTCACCAGCAGCGAATTGGGGTAAAAACGGCCAAAATCGGCGCTCTGGGGACACAAAGGGACATTGGGGACATTTTGGGGACATTTTGGGATTTTTGGGGATTTTTTTTGGATTTTTTTGGGATTTTTTTGGGATTTTGGGGGATTTTTGGGGGATTTTTTGGGGATTTTTTGGGGATATTTTGGGGATTTTTTGGGGATTTTTTGGGGAATATTTGGGGATATTTGAGGATATTTTGGGGACGTCGAGGGGACATTTGGGGACATTTTGGGGATTTTTTGGGGATTTTTTGGGGACATTTTGGGGATATTTTGGGGATATTTTGGGATTTTTGGGGAATATTTTGGGGATTTTTGGGATATTTTGGGGGATATTTGGGGGATATTTTTGGGATATTTTGGGGATACTTGGGGGATATTTTGGGGATACTTGGGGGATATTTTGGGGGAATATTTTGGGGATATTTGGGGATATTTTGGGGATTTTTTTGGGATTTTGGGGGATTTTTTTGGGATATTTTGGGGATTTTTGAGGATATTTTGGGGATATTTTGGGGATATTTTGGGGATTTTTTGGGGATATTTTGGGGATAATTTTGGGATATTTTGGGGATATTTGGGGATATTTTGGGGATATTTGGGGGGGTTTGGGGGATATTTTGGGGATATTTTGGGGATATTTGTGGATATTTTGGGGGATATTTTGGGGGATATTTTGGGGATATTTGGGGATGTTTGGGGATATTTGGGGATATTTTGGGGATATTTGGGGGATTTTTTTGGGGATATTTGAGGATATTTTGGGGATATTTTGGGGATTTTTGGGGATTTTTTGGGGATTTTTTTGGGATATTTTGGGGATTTTTTGGGGATTTTGGGGGATTTTTTTGGGATTTTTTTGGGATTTTTTGGGGATTTTTTGGGGATATTTTGGGATATTTTGGGGATATTTTGGGGATTTTTTGGGGGATATTTGGGGATATTTGGGGATATTTCGGGATATTTTGGGGATTTTTTTGGGGATTTTAGGAGATTTTTTGGGATATTTTGGGGATTTTTTGGGGATTTTTTGGGGATTTTTTGGGGATATTTTGGGGGATATTTTGGGGACATTTGGGGATATTTTGGGAATATTTGCGGGATATTTTGGGGACATTTCGGGATATTTGGGGGATATTTTGGAGGATATTTTGGGGATATTTTGGGGATATTTGGGGGATATTTTGGGGATGTTTGGGATATTTTGGGGGATATTTTGGGGATATTTTGGGGGATATTTTGGGGATATTTTGGGGACATTTTGGGGATTTTTGGGGATATTTTGGGGTCTCACCCTGGTCGGGCCAGCCCAGGGCGGCGAAAGGGAAGAGGGCGGAGGAGAACCAGGTGTCCAAAACATCAGGGTCTGGGGACAGGGAAAGGTCCCCAAATGTCACCCAAAGGTCACCAAAACGTCACCAAAATGTCACCCAAAGGTCACCCAAAGGTCACATTTGAAGCCCCCAAAAAACTCAAAAAACCCAAATAAAACAGCCCCAAAAAAAGCCAAATAAAACACCTCCAAAAAAGCCAAAAAACCCAATAAAACACCCCAAAAAACCCAATAAAACATCGCCAAAAAACCCAATAAAAACCCCCCAAAACCCAAATAAAACCCAAATAAAAACCCCCCAAAAAATCCAAATAACCCCCAAAAAAACCCCAAATAAACCCCAATAAAATCCCCAAAAAACCCAAATAAAACACCCCCAAAAACACCCAAAAACCCAAAAAACCCAATAAAACACCCCAAAAAACCCCAATAAAACACCCCAAAAAACCCCAATAAAACCCAAATTAAAACACCCCCAAAAACCGCAATAAAAACCCCCAAAAACCCAAATAAAACCCAAATAAAACACTCCAAAAAAACCCAAAAAACCCAAATTAAACACCCCCAAAACCCCAAATAAAACACCCCCCAAAAAATCCGAATAAACCTCAAAAACCCAAATTAAAAAACCCCAAAAAATCCCAATAAACCCAAAAAACCCAAATTAAAAAACACAACAAAAACCAAATAAAACACCCCAAAAAACCCAAATAAAACACCCCAAAAAACCCAAATAAAACCCAAATAAAACACCCGAAAAAAACCCAAAAAACTCCAATAAAACACCCCCAAAAACCCCAAAAAACCCCAATAAAAAATCCCAAAAAACCCAAAAAAAACCCCAATAAAATCCCCAAAAACCCAAATAAAACGCAAATAAAAAACCCCAAAAAACCCCAATAAAACACCCCAAAAAATCCCCAAAAATCCCCCAAGCTCTCACCTTGCCGCAGGTGCAGCTCCCGGGCGGGGCAGCCCAGGGCCCTCACGGCCGCCGCCCTGGCCTCGGCCTCGCTGCGCCCCACGAACCACGGCCCCTCCTCATCCTCACCCTCCTCACCCTCCTCATCCTCGGGGGCACCTGGGGGGACCCCGCCGGGGGGCGGGGCCAGGCCTCACCTGGTAGGCGGGGACGCGGTGACCCCACCAGAGCTGGCGGGAAAGGCACCAATCCCTGCGAGGGGGAGGGAGGGGATGCGTGGGGACACGCCCCACCACGTCTGGGACGCGCCCACCACGTCTGGGACATGCCCATCAATGGTGAGACCACGCCCACCACGTCAGGGACACGCCCACTGCTGGGAGACCACGCCCTCCACGTCTGGGACACGCCCACCACGCCTGGATACGCCCATGCTGGGGAGACCACGCCCACCACGTCTGGGACACGCCCACCACGTCTGGGACACGCCCACCACGTCTGGGATACGCCCACCACGCCTGGGACACGCCCGCTGCTGGGGAGACCACGCCCACCACGTCTGGGATATGCCCACTGCTGGGGAAACCACGCCCACCACAGCTGAGACCACGCCCCGGACACGCCCATCGCAGCTGAGACCACGCCCACCACGTCTGGGGACCACGCCCGCTGCTGGGGAGACCCACGCCCACCACGTCTGGGACATGCCCACCACACCTGAGACCACGCCCACCACGGTTTGAGACCCCACCCACCATTTCTGAGACCACACCCACCACATCTGGGACATGCCATCACTGGTGAGACCACGCCCACTACACGTGGGACACGCCCACAACACCTGAGACCACACCCACCACACCTGGGACACGCCCAGCACTGATGAGACCACACCCACCATGCCTGGGACATGTCCGTCACATCTGATACCACGCCCCCACCATGCCTGGGACACGCCTATCACTGGTGAGACCACGCCCACCACTCCCGAGACCACGCCCAACCACACCTGGGACCACACCACCACACATGGGACACGCCCACCACACTTGAGACCACGCCCCTCAGCTCTGAGACCACGCCCACTACACATGAGGCCCCACCCACAAGTGAGACACACCCACCACAGCTGAGACTCCGCCTCCAACACCTGAGACCCCTCCCCTTTCCCTGAGACCCCTCCTCCAACAGCTGAGGCCACGCCCACCAATGCTGAGACCCTCGCCTGAAGCCCCTCCCCCTCAGCGAAGCCCCGCCCCCTCAGCGGAGGCCCCGCCCCTCACGCCGAGGCCCGCCCCTCACCCCCGCGCTCTCCATCCAGCTTTTCAGTTTTTCTCGTGGAATTTGGCACCAGGCGGAGCCGCCCCGACGTCACCCGCCTGGCACAGGTGAGAGGAGAGACCCCAAAATGTCCCCAAATGTCCCCAGGTGAGAGAGACCCCCCCAAAATGTCCCCCAAATGTCACCACAGGTGAGAGAGACCCCCCCCCAAAATGTCCCCAAATCCCCCCAGGTGAGACCTCTCAGGTGTGAGATCCCCAAAATGTCCCCAAAATCCCCCTCAAAATGGCACCACAGGTGAGACCCCTCAGGTGAGACCCCTCAGGTGAGACCCCCCCAAAATGTCCCCAAATGTCATCTGCTGGCCACCCAGGTGAGACCCCTCAGGTGGGACACGCCCCCAAAATGTCCCCAAATCCCCCCCAAATGTCCCCACAGGTGAGAGAGACCCCCCCCAAAATGTCCCCAAATCCCCCCCAAATGTCCCCTGCTGGGCACAGGTGAGACCCCTCAGGTGAGACCCCCCCAAAATGTCCCCAGATCCCCCCCAAAATGGCACCTGCTGGGCACTCAGGTGTCCCCAGGTGTGTGTGTGACCCCCCCCCAGGTGTCCCCAGGTGTGTGTGTGACCCCCCCCCAGGTGTCCCCAGGTGTGTCACCCCCCCCCCCCAGGTGTCCCCAGGTGTGTGTGTGACCCCTCCCAGGTGTCCCCAGGTGTCCCCAGGTGTGTCACCTCCCCCAGGTGTCCCCAGGTGTCCCCAGGTGTGCCCAGGTGTGTCACCCCCCCCAGGTGTCCCCAGGTGTGTGTGTCACCCTCCCAGGTGTCCCCAGGTGTCCCCAGGTGTGTGTGTGACCCCCCCCAGGTGTGTGTGTGACCCCCCCAGGTGTCCCCATGTGTCCCCAGTGTGTCACCCCCCCAGGTGTCCCCAGGTGTCCCCAGGTGTCCCCAGGTGTGTGTGTGACCCCCCCCAGGTGTCCCCAGGTGTGTGTGTGACCCCCCCAGGTGTCCCCAGGTGTCCCCAGGTGTCCCCAGGTGTGTGTGTGACCCCCCCCAGGTGTCCCTGGGTGTCCCCAGGTGTGTCACCCCCCCAGGTGTCCTCACCTGCAGCGCCTCCCTGGCCATGTCCCCACAGGTGAGGAACCACTGGCGCTTCAGCAGGAACTCGACGACGTCACCCGGAGCGGCTGCGGGGACAGGGACACCTGAGGGACACCTGGGGACAGCTGGGGACACCTGGGGGACACCTGGGGACACCTGGGGACACCTGAGGGACACCTGAGGGACAGCTGGGGGACAGCTGGGGGACAGCTGGGGGACACCTGGGACACCTGGGGGACAGCTGGGGGGGCACCTGGGGACACCTGGGGGACATTGGGGACACCTGAGGGGGCACCTGAGGGACACCCCGGGGGACAGCTGGGGACACCTGGGGACAGGTGTGTGTTACCTGCACAGGGGCAGGGTCATGGCGTGGGGGATGTTGGTGACATTGGTGACAATGGGGACAGGTGAGGTGACATTGGTGTCACCAGGTGTGTTACCTGCACAGGGGCAGGGTCATGGCGTGGGTGACACTGGGGACAGGTGAGGTGACAATGGTGACAATGGGGACAGGTGAGGTGACATTGGTGACAATGGTGACACCTGTGTTACCTGCACAGGGGCAGGGTCATGGCGTGGGTGACATTGGGGACAGGTGAGGTGACATGGGTGACATTGGGGACACCTGTGTTACCTGCACAGGGGCAGGGTCATGGCGTGGGGGATGTTGGTGACATTGGTGACACCTGAGGTGACATTGGTGTCACCAGGTGTGTGTTACCTGCACAGGGGCAGGGTCATGGCGTGGGTGACACTGGGGACACTGGGGACAGGTGAGGTGACACTGGTGACATTGGTGTCACCAGGTGTGTTACCTGCACAGGGGCAGGGTCATGGCGTGGGTGACATTGGGGACAGGTGAGGTGACATTGGGGACACCTGGGGACAGGTGTGTGTTACCTGCACAGGGGCAGGGTCATGGCGTGGGGGATGTTGGGGACACTGGGGACAGGTGAGGTGACATTGGGGACATTGGTGACACCAGGTGTGTTACCTGCACAGGGGCAGGGTCATGGCGTGGGTGACATTGGGGACAGGTGAGGTGACATTGGTGACATTGGTGACACCAGGTGTGTTACCTGCACAGGGGCAGGGTCATGGCGTGGGTGACATTGGGGACAGGTGAGGTGACATTGGTGACACCTGAGGTGACATTGGTGTCACCTGTGTTACCTGCACAGGGGCAGGGTCATGGCGTGGGTGACATTGGGGACAGGTGAGGTGACATTGGGGACAGGTGAGGTGACATTGGTGACACCAGGTGTGTTACCTGCACAGGGGCAGGGTCATGGCGTGGGTGACATTGGTGACATTGGTGACACCTGGGGACAGGTGTGTGTTACCTGCACAGGGGCAGGGTCATGGCGTGGGTGACATTGGGGACAGGTGAGGTGACATTGGGGACAGGTGAGGTGACATTGGGGACACCTGTGTTACCTGCACAGGGGCAGGGTCATGGCGTGGGGGATGTTAGTGACATTGGTGACAATGGGGACAGGTGAGGTGACATTGGTGACATTGGTGACACCTGGGGACAGGTGTGTGTTACCTGCACAGGGGCAGGGTCATGGCGTGGGTGACACTGGGGACATTGGGGACACTTGGGGACACCTGGGGACAGGTGTGTGTTACCTGCACAGGGGCAGGGTCATGGCGTGGGTGACATTGGGGACATTGGTGACACCTGAGGTGACATTGGTGACACCTGTGTTACCTGCACAGGGGCAGGGTCATGGCGTGGGTGACATTGGGGACAGGTGAGGTGACATTGGGGACAGGTGAGGTGACATTGGTGTCACCTGTGTTACCTGCACAGGGGCAGGGTCATGGCGTGATCCGTCACCCCCCGGAGCAGCCCCCGCTGGGCCAGCGCTGCCACCACCTGAGCACGGGCCTCGAACCTGGGGACACCCTGGGGACATCGGGGACATTGGGGACATTGGGGGGACATTGGGGACAATGGGGACAATGGGAAAGAATGGGAGGAAAAAGGGAAAAATGGGACTGGGGACATTGGGGATGTTGGGGACATTGAGGGACATTGGGGGGATTGGGGACAATGGGGACATTGGGGACAATGGGAAAGAACGGGAGGAAAAAGGGAAAAAATGGGACTGGGGACATTGGGGACAATGGGAAAAAAATGGGGGGAAATTGGGAAAAATGGGATTGGGGACATTGAGGGACATTGGGGACAGTGGGGACAATGGGGACATTGGGGGATTGGGGACACTGGGGACATTGAGGACATTGGGGACATTGAGGGGATTGGGGACAATGGGGACATTAGGGGATTGGGGACAATGGGAAAAAATGGGGGAAAATTGGGAAAAAATGGGACTGGGGACAGTGGGGACAATGGGAAAAAATGGGGGGAAATTGGGAAAAATGGGATTGGGGACATTGGGGACATTGGGGACAGTGGGGACAATGGGGACATTGAGGGGATTGGGGACATTGGGGACATTGGGGACATTGGGAAAAAATGGGGGGAAATTGGGAAAAATGGGACTGGGGACAGTGGAGACATTGGGGGGACATTGGGGACATTGGGGGATTGGGGACATGGGCCAGGTTTGGGCCCATTTGGGGTCATTTTTGGGGACAGTTTGGGGACACCTTGGAGTCATTTTTGGGGTGATTTTTGGAGTCGTTTGGGGACAATTTGGGGTCATTTTTGGGGACACTCTGGGGCCATTTTGGGTCAATTTGGGGTCATTTTTGGGGCCAGTCTGGGGTCATTTTTGGGATCATTTTTTGGGACACTTTGGGGTGATTTTTGTGGCACTTTGGGGCCATTTGGGGTCATTTTTGGGGCCGTTTTTGGGGCCCTTTGGGGTGGTTTTTGGGGCCATTTTGGGGCCACTTTGGGGCCATTTTTAGGGCCATTTGGGGTAATTTTTGGGGCCATTTTGGGGCCCTTTGGGGTGGTTTTTGGGGCCATTTTGGGGCCATTTTGGGGCCTTTTGGGGTGGTTTTTGGGGCCATTTTGGGGCCCTTTGGGGTGGTTTTTGGGGCCATTTTGGGGCCATTTTGGGGCCCTTTGGGGTGATTTTTGGGGTGATTTTTGGGGCCATTTTTGGGGACATTTTGGGGCCCTTTGGGATGGTTTTTGGGGCCCTTTGGGGTGGTTTTGGGGGCCATTTTGGGTCATTTTTGGGGTCATTTTTGGGGTCATTTTTGGGGTGGTTATTGGGGCCCTTTGGGGCCATTTTTGGGGTGATTTTTGGTGCCATTTGGGGCGGTTTTTGGGGCGGTTTTGGGGCCGTACGTGCAGCCACCCCCCTCCCGGGGGACACAAGGTGCCGTCGTCAGCGATGACCGAGAGCAGCGGCAGCGCGTGGGCCCGGGCCAGGGCCAGGTCCTGGGGGCTGTGCCCGGGGGTCACCTTGACTGCACCTGGGGACAGGGACACACCTGGGTCACACCTGGGGCACACCTGGGACACACCTAGGGCACCTGTTTGTCACCTATTGTCACCTATTGTCACCTACAGGGCCTGGGGGCTGTGCCCGGGGGTCACCTTGACTGCACCTGGGGACAGGGATGGGACAGGGTCACACCTGGGGCACCTGTTTGTCACCTGTTTGTCATCTATTGTCACCCAGTGTCACCCACAGGGCCTGGGGGCTGTGCCCAGGGGTCACCTTGACTGCACCTGGGGACAGGGATGGGACAGGGACACACCTGGGTGACACCTGTGTCACACCTGGGGCACACCTGGGTCACCTGTTTGTCACCTATTGTCACCCACAGGGCCTGGGGGCTGTGCCCGGGGGTCACCTTGACTGCACCTGGGGACAGGGATGGGACAGGGTCACACCTGGGGCACACCTGTGCCACCTGTTTGTCATCTATTGTCACCTATTGTCACCTATTGTCACCTATTGTCACCCACAGGTCCTGGGGGCTGTGCCCGGGGGTCACCTTGACCGCACCTGGGGACGGGGACACACCTGGGTCACACCTGTGTCACCTGTTTGTCACCTATTGTCACCTATTGTCAGTTATTGTCACCCACAGGGCCTGGGGGCTGTGCCCAGGGGTCACCTTCACCGCACCTGGGGACAGGGATGGGACAGGGTCACACCTGGGGCACACCTGGGGCACCTGTTTGTCACCTATTGTCACCTATTGTCACCCACAGGGCCTGGGGGCTGTGCCCGGGGGTCACCTTGACCGCACCTGGGGACAGGGATGGGACAGGGTCACACCTGGGGCACACCTGGGGCACACCTGGGGCACCTGTTTGTCACCTATTGTCAGTTATTGTCACCTACAGGTCCTGGGGGCTGTGCCCGGGGGTCACCTTCACCGCACCTGGGGACAGGGACAGGGCAGGGTCACACCTGGGACACACCTGGGTCACACCTGGGGCACCTGTTTGTCACCTATTGTCACCCAGTGTCACCCACAGGTCCTGGGGGCTGTGCCCGGGGGTCACCTTGACCGCACCTGGGGACAGGGACAGGGCAGGGACACACCTGGGGCACACCTGGGTCACACCTGGGTCACCTGTTTGTCACCTCCTGTCACCCAGTGTCAACCCAATCCCCTCCCAGTCCCTCCCAGTCTCCTCCCAGTTTATCCCAGTCCATCCCAGTCTGTCCCAGTCCCCCTTTAACCCCTCCCAGTCTCCTCCCAGTCTCCTCCCAGTTTATCCCAGTCCATCCCAGTTTATTCCAATCCCCTCCCAGTCCCCCCCAGTCCCTCCCAATCCCCTCCCAGTTTATCCCAATACCCTCCCAATCCCATCCCAGTCCCTCCCAGTTTATCCCAATCCCCTCCCAGTCCCTCCCAATCCCCCTTTAACCCCTCCCAGTTTGATCTCAGTTTATCCCAATACCCTCCCAATCCCATCCCAGTCCCTCCCAGTTTATCCCAATCCCCTCCCAGTCCCTCCCAATCCCCCTTTAACCCCTCCCAGTTTGATCTCAGTTTATCCCAGTCCCTCCCAATCCCCTCCCAGTCCCCCTTTAACCCCTCCCAGTCCCCCCCAGTCCATCCCAGTCCCTCCCAATCCCCTCCCAGTCTCTCCCAGTTTATCCAAGTCCACCCCAACCCCATCCCAGTCCCTCCCAGTCCCTCCCAGTCCATCCCAGTTCCTCACCAGTTCCCAGCTGGGGCTGCACGCTGGGGTCGCTCACCACGGGCAGCAGGGCCCCGCTGAACGGGTGCCTCACCCGCCGGCCCTGCAGGTGCTGAGGGGGCGTGGTCAGACGGGGACACGCCCCCAAGCCACGCCCCCTAACCCTTTAAGAGCCTCCGGGTAAGCCACGCCCCTTTGTGGGTGGAGCCATTCCAGACCAATCCCTGCCTGGCTGTGAGATGGCCCCGCCCAGCCATTGGCCACGCCCACAGCAATGAAGCTCCACCCCCCCTTTACCCCAAGCGCCGCCTTTTTACCCTTATATGGATGCACAGAAAAGGGGAGGGGCTAAACCTGGACAGCCAATGGCTGCCCTGCAGGGGAGCCACGCCCACCATCCCCATAAATTTAGGGAGTCCCGCCCATCCCAACAAGGCCCCGCCCATCCCAAAGATGCCCCGCCCATTATAATGAGGCCCCTCCCATCCCAAAGAAGCCCCGCCCATCCCAAAGAAGCCCCACCCATCCCAATGAGGCCCCTCCCATCCCAAAGAAGCCCCGCCCATCCCAAAGAAGCCCCACCCATCCCAATGAGGCCCCTCCCATCCCAAAGAAGCCCCACCCATCCCAAAGAAGCCACGCCCATCCCAATGAGGCCCCTCCCATCCCAAAGAAGCCCTGCCCATCCCAACAAAGCCCCGCCCATAACAATGAAGCCCCTCCCCGGGCTCAGCCCCTCCCATCCCAGTGAAGCCCCGCCCCCTGACTCAGCCCCGCCCCCAGGTTAAACCCCGCCCCTCACCAGGTATCGAGGGTCCCTTGGGTGCACGGCCACGGCCACGTCCCCAAAGAGCGTCTCAGGGCGCGTGGTGGCCACCGGCACCTCCAGCCCTGGGGACACCAAGGGACACTCAGGGGACACCCGGGGGACACCAGGGGACACCAAGGGACATGCGGGAGGCACCAAGGGACACCCAGGGGACACTTAAAGGACAATGGGGACACTCAGGGGACACGGTGGGGACACCCAGGTGAGAGCCATGGGACACCCAGGGGACACCCAGGGGACACCCAAGAGACACCAAGGGGACACATTGGGGACACCTTGGCGAGAGCCACGGGACACCCAGGGGACATTGGGGACACTCAGGTGACACCAAGGGACACTCAGGTGACACCAAAGGACACCCAGGGGACACTTAAGGGACACTTAAGGGACATTGGGGACACCCAGGGGACACCAGGGGACACTCAGGGGACACCCGGGGGACACCCAGGGGACATTGGAGACACCAAAGGACACCCAGGGGACACCAGGGGACACTTAAAGGACAATGGGGACACTCAGGAGACACCAAAGGACACCCAGGGGACACCAGGGGACACCCAGGGGACACTCAGGTGACACCAGGGGACACTTAAAGGACAATGGGGACACACAGGGGACACCCAAGGGACACCCAGATGACACCAGGGGACACTTAAGGGACATTGGGGACACGTTGGGGACACCCGGGCGAGAGCCAGGGGACACCAAAGGACACTCAGGTGACACCCAGGGGACAGCAGGGGACACTCAGAGGACAATGGGGACACCCAGGGGACATCAGGGACACGTTGGGGACGCTCAGGTGATACCCAGGTCATGTTCAGGATGTCCCCAATGCCACACCCAGTGTCCCCAATGCCACACCCAGTGTCCCCCCAATGTCCCCATTGCCATTCCCAGTGTCCCCAGTGCCACCCCAGTGTCCCCAATGCTGTCCCCAATGCTGTCCCCAATGTCCCCAGTGCCACCCACCGTCGTCCCCCTCCACGGGGTAGGCGAAGGTGACGAGGACGCCGAAGGTGACGGGGTGGGGACAGTTGGGGACGTTCAGCGCCGTGGGACCCGTCAGGACACGGGGCTCCACCTGGGGGGACATTGGGGACATTTGGGGACATTGGGGACACCTCAATATCAGCCAATGCTGATCTCAGGGCGCAGCTCCAGGTCACACTGGGGACATTTGGGGACATTTGGGGACATTTGGGGACATTGGGGACATTTGGGGACACCTCAATGTCGGCCAATGCCGATCTCAGGGCACAGCTCCAGGGGACATTTGGGGACTTTGGGGACATTTGGGGACATTGGAGACACCTCAATGTCAGCCAATGCAGATCTCAGGGCGCAGCTCCAGGGGACATTGGGGACATTTGGGGACATTTGGGGACATTGGGGACACCTCAATGTCAGCCAATGCTGATCTCAGGGCGCAGCTCCAGGTCACACTGGGGACATTGGGGACATTTGGGGACATTGGGGACATTGGGGACATTGGGGACATTGGGGACACTGGGGACATTTGGGGACACCTCAATGTCGGCCAATGCCGATCTCAGGGCGCAGCTCCAGGTCACACTGGGGACATTTGGGGACATTTGGGGACACCTCAATATCAGCCAGTGCCGATCTCAGGGCGCAGCTCCAGGTCACACTGGGGACATTTGGGGACATTTGGGGACATTTGGGGACATTGGGGACACCTCAATATCAGCCAGTGCTGATCTCAGGGTGCAGCTCCAGGGGACATTTGGGGACATTGGGGACATTTGGGGACATTTGGGGACATTGGGGACACCTCAATGTCGGCCAGTGCCGATCTCAGGGCGCAGCTCCAGGTCACACTGGGGACATTGGGGACATTTGGGGACATTGGGGACACCTCAATATCAGCCAATGCCGATCTCAGGGCACAGCTCCAGGGGACATTGGGGACATTGGGGACATTTGGGGACATTGGGGACATTTGGGGACACCTCAATATCAGCCAGTGCCGATCTCAGGGCGCAGCTCCAGGTCACACTGGGGACATTTGGGGACATTTGGGGACATTGGGGACATTGGGGACATTTGGGGACATTTGGGGACACCTCAATGTCAGCCAATGCCGATCTCAGGGCGCAGCTCCAGGTCACAGTGAGGACATTTGGGGACATTTGGGGACATTGGGGACACCTCAATGTCAGCCAATGCCGATCTCAGGGCGCAGCTCCAGGGGACATTTGGGGACATTTGGGGACATTTGGGGACATTTGGGGACATTGGGGACACCTCAATATCAGCCAGTGCAGATCTCAGGGCGCAGCTCCAGGTCACACTGGGGACATTGGGGACATTTGGGGACATTTGGGGACATTGGGGACACCTCAATGTCGGCCAATGCCGATCTCAGGGCGCAGCTCCAGGTCACACTGGGGACATTGGGGACATTTGGAGACATTTGGGGACATTTGGGGACATTGGGGACACCTCAATGTCAGCCAGTGCCGATCTCAGGGCGCAGCTCCAGGTCACCGCCCTCTGGTCCCTGCGGATCAGCCCGGCCTCGAAGAGACGCACGAAGGCCTCGGTGACAGCGCGGGAGAAACCCTGGGGACACCACGGGGACACTTGGGGACACCTGGGGACACTTTGGGGGAGGTTTGGGGACACTTTGGGGACAGTTCAGGGAGATTTGGGGACAGTTTGGGGCAGTTCAGGGAGGTTTGGGGGCAGTTTTGGGACGGTTCGGGGAGGTTTGGGGGCAGTTTGGGGGCAGTTCAGGAGAGTTTGGGACGCTTGGGGACACTTGGAGGACAGTTGGTGACAGTTTGGGGACACTCTGGTGACCGCAGGGGATGCTTGGGGACAGTTGGTGACATTTTGGGGACACTCTGGGGACAGCAGGGGACAGTTTTGGGGACAGCTTAGGGACATTTTTGGGATGCTTTGGGGCCAGTTGGGAGCATTTGGGGACACTCAGGACACTTGGGGACAGCTGGGGACAGCTCAGGGACCCTTGGGGACACTTTGGGGATGGTCTGGGGACACGTTGGGGACACGTTGGGGACAGTTTGGGGACAGTTTTGCGATGCTTTGGGGAGAGTTGGGAATGTTTGGAACACTTGGGGACAGCTCAGGGACCCTTGGGGACAGTTTGGGGACATTCTGGGGACAGTTTGGGGACATTCTGGGGACATTCTGGGGACAGTTTGGGGAGAGTTGGGAACGTTTCGAACGCTTGGGGACAGCTTGGGGACAGTTTGAGGACACTTTGGTGACACTTTGGGGACACTTTCGTGACACTTTGGGGATGGTCGGGGGACACTTTGGTGACACTTTGGGGACAGGCTGGGGACACTCTGGTGACACTTTGGGGACACTTTGGGGACAGTTTGGTGACACTTTGGTGACACTCTGGGGACACTCTGGTGACACTTTGGGGACAGTCTGGGGACACTTTGGGGACACTCTGGGGACACTCTGGTGACACTTTGGGGACAGTCTGGGGACACTTTGGGGACACTTTGGGGACACTCTGGTGACGCTTTAGGGACACTTTGGTGACACTTTGGGGACAGGCTGGGGACACTTTGGGGACATTTGGTGGCACTCACGGGGTCCATGGTGAAGGCGCAGCGGCTCCAGTCCAGCGAGGCCCCGAGCGCCCGCAGCTGCTGCAGGATCTGCTCCCCGTGCCTGGGGGGACACCAGGGTGTCCCCAATGTCCCCAAGGTGTCCCCAAGTGTCCCCAAGGTGTCCCCAATGTCCCCAATGTCCCCAAGGTGTCCCCAAGGTGTCCCCAGTGTCCCCTCACCGCTCCTTCCAGCGCCAAACCTCGCGCACAAACTCGGCCCGGCCCAGGTCCTGCCGGCGCTGCCGGCGCTGCTGCCACAGCCAGCGCTCCACGATGGCCTGGGGACAATGGGGACACATTGGGGACACATTGGGGACATCCCCTGTGCTGCCACAGCCAGCGCTCCACGATGGCCTGGGGACAATGGGGACACACTGGGGACATTGGGGACACACTGGGGACATTGGGGACAGCCCCCGGGGCTGCCACAGCCAGCGCTCCACGATGGCCTGGGGACAATGGGGACACATTGGGGACATTGGGGACACATTGGGGACACATTGGGGACATCCCTGGGGATGTCAGGGACAGCCCCCAGTGCTGCCACAGCCAGCGCTCCACGATGGCCTGGGGACATTGGGGACATATTGGGGACAATGGGGACAATGGGGACATATTGGGGACAATGGGGACATTGGGGACATTGGGGACAGCCCTGGGGACATTGGGGACAGCCCTCGGGGCTGCCACAGCCAGCGCTCCACGATGGCCTGGGGACACATTGGGGACACATTGGGGACACATTGGGGACACATTGGGGACATTGGGGACATTGGGGACACATTGGGGACATCCCCAGTGCTGCCACAGCCAGCGCTCCACGATGGCCTGGGGACACATTGGGGACACATTGGGGACATCCTTGGGGCCAGGGTAAGCAGATTTGGGGACATTTCAGGAAGATTTAGGGACATTTGGGGACAGTTTGGGGACATTTGGGGACACACCTGGGTGGCAATGCCAGCGTGGGGATGGTCAGAGGGGATTTGGGGACAGTTTGGGGACATTTGGGGACATTTGGGGACACACCTGGGTGGCAATGCCAGCGTGGTCGGTGCCCGGCACCCACAGGACGTCCCAGCCCTGCATCCTCCGCCTGCACCCAAAAAAACCCCAAATAATTCCCAAAAAAAACCCCAAAATAACCCCCCAAAAAAAACCCCCAAAGTAGTCTCAAAACAGCCCCAAAATAATCCCAAATATTCCCAAAACAGCCCCAAAATAACCCCAAAACAAATCCCCAAAATCCAGCAAAATACACCCCAAAAACCCCCCAGAAACCCCCCTAAGTTCCCCAAACCCCACTCAAACCCCCCAGACCCCCCAAAACCCCCACTCAAACCCCTCAAATCCCCCCAAACTCACCCCAAATCCCCCCCAAACTCACCCCTAACCCCACTCAAATCCAACTCAAACCCCCGAAAAAATCCCCCCCAAAATCACCCAAAATCCCACTCAAACCCCCCAAAATCCCCCCAAACCCCACTCAACCCCCCCCAAATCCCCCCATAGCCCCACTCAAACCCCCCAAACCCCCCAAAATCCCTTCTCAAACCCTTCAAATCCCCCCCAAGCCCCACTCAAACCCCCCAAAACCTTCTCTCAAACCCCCTCCAAACTCACCCCAAATCCCCCCTTAATCCCAATCAAACCCCCCAAAGTCCCCCCAAACCCCACTCAAACCCCCCAAAACCCCCACTCACACCCCCCAAATCTCACCATTTTCCCCCAAACTCACCCCAAACCCCCCAAAATCCCCCCAAACCTCCCCTAAAATCCCCCCAAAATCCCCCCAAATCCCACTCAAACCCCCCAAATCCCCCCAAAATCTCCCCAAAATCCCCCCCAAACTCACCCCAAACCCCATTCAATCCCCCCAAATCCCCTCTCAACCCCCCAAATCCCCCCATAACCCCACTCAAACCCCTCAAATCCCCCCAAAATCCCCCCAAACTCACCCCAAATCCCACTCACACCCCCCAACTCCCCCCAAACCCCACTCAAACTCCCCAAAACCCCCACTCAAACCCCCCATAACCCCACTCAAACCCCTCAAATCCCCCCCAACTCACCCCAAAATCCCACTCAAACCCCCCAAAATGCCCCCAAACCCCACTCAAACCCCCTCTGAACCCCCCACATCCCCCCCAAATTCCCCCAAATCCCCCCAAACCCCACTCAACCCCCCCAAAATCCCCCCAAATCCCACTCACACCCCCCAAATCCCCCCCCAAATTTCCCCCAACTCACCCCAATCCCCCCCAAACCCCACTCAAACCCCCAAATCTACTCAAACCCCCCTCTCAACCCCCCCAAATCCCCCCAAACTCACCCCAAACCCCCCTCAAACCCCCTAAAATCCCCCCCAAAATCACCCCATAACCCCACTCAAAACCTCTCAAATCCCCCCCAAACCCCACTCAAACCCCCCAAAATCCCTTCTCAAACCCTTCAAATCCCCCCAAACCCCACTCAAACCCCCTCCAAACTCACCCCAAACCCCATTCAATCCCCCCAAATCCCCTCTCAACCCCCCAAATCCCCCCAAATCCCCTCTCAACCCCCCAAATCCCCCCATAACCCCACTCAAACCCCTCAAATCTCCCCAAACTCACCCCAAATCCCACTCAAACCCCCCAAATCCCCCCCAAATCCCACTCAAACCCCCCCAAATCTCCCCAAAATCCCCCCAAATCCCACTCAAACCCCCCAAAATCCCCCCCAAATCCCACTCAAACCCCCCTCAAACCCCCTAAAATCCCCCCCAAAATCACCCCATAACCCGACTCAAACCTCTCAAATCCCCCCCAAATCCCCCCAAACCCCACTCAAACCCCCCAAAACCTTCTCTCAAACCCCCTCCAAACTCACCCCCAAATCCCCCCTTAATCCCAATCAAACCCCCCAAAGTCCCCCCAAACTCCACTCAAACCCCCCAAAATCCCCCAAAATCCCCCCAAACTCACCCCAAACCCCATCAAACCCCCTCTGAACCCCCCCAAACCCCCCAAATCTCACCATTTTCCCCCAAACTCACCCCAAACCCCCCAAAATCCCCCCAAACCTCCCCTAAAATCCCCCCAAAATCCCCCCAAATCCCACTCAAACCCCCCAAAATCTCCCCAAAATCCCCCCCAAACTCACCCCAAACCCCATTCAATCCCCCCAATCCCCTCTCAACCCCCCAAATCCCCCCATAACCCCACTCAAACCCCTCAAATCCCCCCAAAATCCCCCCAAACTCACCCCAAATCCTACTCCACACCCCCCAACTCCCCCCAAACCCCACTCAAACTCCCCAAAACCCCCCCACTCAAACCCCTCAAATCCCCCCAAATCCCCCCATAACCCCACTCAAACCCTTCAAGTTCCCCCCAAATCTCCCTAAACTCACCCCAAAATTCCCCCAAACTCCACTCAAATCCCCCAAACTCCACTCAAACCTCCCAAATCCCCCCAACTCACCCCAAATCCCCCCCAAACCCCCCAAATCCCCCCAAACCCCACTGAAACCCCACTCAAACTCCCCAGAACCCCCCACTCACACCCCCCAAATCCCCCCCAAATCTCCCCTAAAATCCCCCCAAATCCCACTCAAACCCCCCAAACTCACCCCAAACCCCACTCAAACCCCTCAAATCCCCCCAAACTCACCCCAAATCCCACTCACACCCCCCAACTCCCCCCAAACCCCACTCAAACCCTTCAAGTCCCCCAAATCTCCCTAAACTCACCCCAAATCTCCCCCCAAACCCCACTCAATCCCCCCAAACCTCCCCTAAAATCCCCCCAAACCCCCCCAACTCGCCCCAAATCCCCCCCAAACCCCCCCAAACCCCACTGAAACCCCACTCAAACTCCCAGAACCCCCACTCACCACCCCCCAAATCCCCCCCAAATCTCCCCTAAAATCCCCCCAAATCCCACTCAAACCCCCCAAAATCCCCCCAAACTCACCCCAAATCCCACTCAACCCCCCCCAAACCCCCAAATTTCCCCCCATTTTCTCCCCCCCGTACCAGCGCACCAGCGCGTCCTGCAGGCTGACGCTCAGGGCGTGGCCCAGGTGCAGGGACCCGGTGACATTGGGGGGGGGCAGCACCAGGCTCAGCACCGGGGCCCCCCCCGGGGCCTGGGGGAGGGGAAAAATGGGGCTGGGGGGGGGAGGGGCACCCCCAGGTGGGGATGGACCCACCCCAAAGTGGGGATGGACCCTCCCAAAGTGGCGATGAACCCCCCAAAGTGGGGATGGACCCCCCCAAAGTGGGGATGAACCCCCCAAAGTGGGGCTGGACCCCCCCCAAAGTGGGGGATGGACCCACCCAAAGTGGGGATGGACCCTCCCCAAGAGGTTTTGGGGTCCCTCAGGTGGTTTTGGGGTCCCCCCAGGTAGGGCTGAACCCCCTCAGGTGATTTTTGGGGTGCCCCAGGTGTGTTCTGAACCCTCCCCAGGTGGTTTTGGGGTCCCTCAGGTGATTTTTAGGACCCCCAGGTGGTTTTGAAACCCCCCCCCCCAGGAGATTTTGGGGTTCCCCAGGTGATTTTTTGGGTCCCCCCCCAGGTCATTTTTTACCCCATCCCAGGTAATTTTGGGACCCCTCCAGGTCATTTTTTACCCCACTCCAGGTGATTTTTGGGACCCCCCCCCCCAGGTGATTTTGGGGTGACCCCCCCAGGTCATTTCTTACCCCCCCCCCCAGGTAATTTTGGGGACCCCCCAGTGATTTTGGGACCTCCCCAGGTGATTTTTGGGTCCCCCCCCGGTCATTTCTTACCCCCCCCCCCCAGGTAATTTTGGGCCCCCCCCCCCAGGTGATTTTTGGGGTCCCTCCCAGATCATTTCTTACCCCATCCCAGGTAATTTTGGGGTCCTCCCCAGGTGATTTTGGGTCCCCCCCCAGGTGATTTTTGGGACCCCCCCCAGGTAATTTTGGGTCCCCCTCCCCAGATAATTTTGGGCCCGTCCCCCGGTGGTTTTTGGGGTCCCCCCCCCGGTGGTTTTTGGGGTCCCCCCCCGGTGGTTTTTGGGGTCCCCCCTCTCTCACCTGTGCAGGTGGGCGGGGTCTGAAGGCCCCGCCCCTCTCCCACCATTGGTACCAAGCGGCCTCGACGTAGCGGGGGCTGTACCTGGGGGGGAGGGGCACGGCCGTGGCTGCGGCCCCAGGGGGCACCTCAGGGGGGGAGGGGCCACAAAACCCCCCCCAAAAAATCTACACAAAAATCCCAAAAAAACACCCAAAAACCCACCCAAAATACCCAAAAATCCACCCGAAAATCCACCCAAAAATACCCCAAAATCACCCCAAGATCTGCTCAAAACCCACCCAAAAATCCACCCAAAAGTCCCAAAAAATCCACCCAAAAATCATCCTAAAATACTCAAAATTCACCCCAAAAATCCCAAAAAATCCACATAAAAATAACCCTAAAATAATCAAAATTCACCCCAAAAATCCACCGAAAAATCCACTTAAAAATCCACCCAAAAATCCACCCAAAAATCCCCACAAAAATTAACCTAAAATACTCAAAATTCACCCCAAAAATCCACCGAAAAATCCACTTAAAAATCCACCCAAAAATCCCCACAAAAATAAACCTAAAATACTCAAAATTCACCCCAAAAATCCACCGAAAAATCCACTTAAAAATCCACCCAAAAATCCCCACAAAAATAAACCTAAAATACTCAAAATTCACCCCAAAAATCCACCCAAAAATCCATAAAAATCCACCCAAAAATCCCAAAAAAATCCACCCCAAAATCACCCTAAAATACTCAAAATTCACCCCAAAAATCCCAAAAAATCCACCCAAAAATCCACCCCAAAAACTGCTCAAAATCCACCCAAAATCCACCAAAATCGCCCCAAAATTCACCCAAACCTGGGCTGTCCTGGGCCAGGGCTGTCCCCAGGTGTCACCTCTCCCCCCCCTGCTTGGGGACACCCAAAATGTCCCAAATTGTCCCAAAATGTCCCCAATTTTTACCCTTTTTGCCATCGGGGCCCAGCGGGTGCTGATATTGCAGCTCAGCCTGGGGGCTCCAGCCCTTGGGGAGGGGCTGCGGCTCCTGCGGGACCAGTATAAACCAGTATAAACCAGTATGGACCAGTATGGACCAGTACGGACCAGTATGCACCAGTATATACCAGTATGAACCAGTACAGAGCACCTAAAACCAGTCCAAGCCAACCCACACCAGTACAAACCAGTGCTCGTCACGGTCTCCCAATTTCTCCCAGTATAAACCAGTAACCCCAAATCCCCCTTGAACCCTTTCCCAGTCCCTCCCAGTCCCTCCCAGTATAAACCAGTGACCCCAAATCCCCCTTTAACCCTTTCCCAGCCCATCCCCAACCCTCTCCCAGTCCCTCCCAGTCCCCCCAGTCTCTCTCCCAGTCCCTCCCAATGCCCCCCAATCCCCTCCCAGTACAAACCAGTACAAACCAGTAACCCCAAATCCCCCTTGAACCCTTTCCCAGTCCCTCCCAGCACAAACCAGTGACCCCAAATCCCCCTTTAACCCTTTCCCAGCCCATCCCCAACCCTCTCCCAGTCCGCACCTTCTCCCGCACCGCCCCTCTCTCCCTCCTCAGCCGCTGCCGCTTCTCCCTCTGCTCCCGGCCCCGCAGCCTCGCCCGCTCGGGCCCGTCCCACGCGGGGCTCCCGGGGCTCTCCCCGGCCGGGGGGGGTCCCGGCTGAGGGGGTCCCGCTGCTCCAGGCGCGGGGCCGGGCCCGGGGAGCCCCGGGAGGCCCCAAAACCCGGGGGGCGCCGAGGGCAGCGCGGCTGAGGGAGGGCGCCGCCATCTTGGAATGGGAAAGGGCGGGACACGTGACCGGGGGAAAGGGCGGGAACGGCGTCACGTGACCGGGAATGGGATGTGATAACACCACGTGACCGGAAACAGGCATGTATGACATCACGTGACATGGGGAAAGGGCGGGGATATCATCACGTGACCGAGGGGAAGGACGAGAATGGAGTCACGTGACCGGGATAAGGGCGGGAGCTGCGCTTGGGGGCGTGGCCTCGGCGGGAAGGGGGCGTGGCCGCGGGCCGCGGCGTGGGGTGAGTGTTTGGGGCGGATTTTGGGGGAAATTTGGGGGATTTTGGGGAGTTTGGGGGGGAAACCGGGGCTGGGGGGCGGCGGGGGCTGGAGGGCAGCGAGGGGGTTTGGGGTAATTGGGGTTAATTGGGGGATTTGGGGTAATTGGGGTTAATTGGGGAGGTTTGGGGTAATTGGGGTTAATTGGGGGGTTTGGGGTAATTGGGGTTAATTGGGGGGTTTGGGGGTAATTGGGGGGTTTGGGTTAATTGGGGTTAATTGGGGGGGTTTGGGTTAATTGGGGTTAATTGGAGGTTTGGGGCCGTTGAGGTTAATCGGGGGGTTTGGGGTAATTTGGGTTAATTTGGGTTAATTGGGGGCAAAGTGAGAGTGGGGATTTTGGGGGGATAATTAGGGGAGGTGCCCCCAGGTGTAACCCAGGTGTAACCCAGGTGTAACCCCAGTATATCCCAGGTGTATCCCAGGTGTATCCCGTGTGTAACCTGTGTGTAACCCCGGTGTATCCCATGTGTAACCCGTGTGTAAGCCCGGAGATGTCGCGGGTGCAGCTGCAGTGCAAGAACCTGCCCGAGTTCCTGTCCCATGTGTAACCCATGTGTAACTCAGGTGTATCCTGTGTGTAACCCCGGTGTATCTCAGGTGTAACCCTGGTGTATCCTGTGTGTAACCCTGGAGATGTCGCGGGTGCAGCTGCAGTGCAAGAACCTGCCCGAGTTCCTGTCCCATGTGTAACCCATGTGTAACCCATGTGTATCTCAGGTGTAATCCGTGTGTAACCCCGGTGTATCTCATGTGTAACTTAGGTGTAACTCAGGTGTGATGTCGCGGGTGCAGCTGCAGTGCAAGAACCTGCCCGAGTTCCTGTCCCAGGTGTAACCCCGGTGTAACCCAGGTGTATCTCAGGTGTAACCCCGGTGTAACCCAGGTGTAACCCCGTGTGTAACCCGTGTGTAACCCCTGTGTAACTCCGGTGTATCCTGTGTGTAACCCCGGAGATGTCGCGGGTGCAGCTGCAGTGCAAGAACCTGCCCGAGTTCCTGCGGGGGCTGAGCCCCCCCACGCTGGACCGGCTCTATGGGCACCCGGCCACCTGCCTGGCCGTCTTCAGGTGGGCTAATTAACGCTAATTAATGCTAATTAGTACTAATTAATCCTTGATTTATCCTTTATTAACCTAATTAATCAACATTAAATCTAAATAACCCTAAATGACTTCGTGCCACCCTGCCTGGCCGTCTTCAGGTGGGCTAATTAGCGCTAATTAATGCTTATTAATGCTAATTAATGCTAACTAATCCTTGATTTATCCTTTATTAACCCTAATTAACCGACGTTAAAACTAAATGACTCAAAATGACCTCGTGCCACCTGCCTGGTGATGTTCAGGTGGGCTAATGAATGCTAATTAATGCTAAGTAATACTACTTAATCCTTAATTAATCCATAATTAAGCCTTCATTAACCCTGATTAACCAAAATTAAAGCTAAATATCCCAAAATAATCCTGTGTCACCAGCTTGGGCTGTCTTCAGGTGGCCTAATTAACACTAATTAACGCTAATTAATGCTAATTAATCCTTAATTATACCTAAATAATCCAAAATAACCCTGTGTCACCAGCCTGGCCGTCTTCAGGTGGCCTAATTAGCACCAATTAACCCTAATTAACCTTCAGTTAATTGTAATTAACCCTAATTTCCCCTCCAGGGAGCTGCCAGGCCTGGCCCAGGCTGGGATTTGGGGCCATTTTGGGTGGATTTGGGGCCATTTTGGGTGGATTTGGGGCCATTTTTGATGATTTTTTTCAGCCCTTTTTGCTGAATTTGGGGCATTTTTGGGGTGGGGTTTTTGGGGTTATTTTGGGGTGATTTTGGGGTAATTTTGGGGTTGATTCTGGGGGTCCTGACCCCCCAAATTCTGCCCCCAGGGAGCTGCCAGGCCTGGCCCAGGCCGGGATTTGGGGCCATTTTGGGTGGATTTGGGGCCATTTTGGGTGGATTTGGGGGCCATTTTTTGCTGATTTTTTGAGCCGTTTTTGATGGAATTTTGGGAGTTTTTTTTGGGGTGGGGTTTTTGGGGTGATTTTGGGGTGATTCTGGGGGTCCTGAACCCCCAAATTCTGCCCTCAGGGAGCTGCCAGGCCTGGCCCAGGCCGGGATTTGGGGCCATTTTTGGGTGGATTTGGGGCCATTTTTGCTGATTTTTTGAGCCGTTTTTGATGGAATTTTGGGAGGTTTTTGGGGTGGGGTTTTTGGGGTGATTTTTGGGGTGATTTTGGGGGTCCTGACCCCCCAAATTCTGCCCTCAGGGAGCTGCCAGGCCTGGCCCAGGCCGGCTTTGGGCCATTTTGGGTGGATTTGGGGCCATTTTTGATGATTTTTGAGCCGTTTTTGATGGAATTTTTGGGAGTTTTTTGGGGTGGGGTTTTTGGGGTGATTTTGGGGTGATTTGGGGGTGATTTTGGGGGTCCTGACCCCCCAAATTCTGCCCTCAGGAGCTGCCAGGCCTGGCCCAGGCCGGGATTTGGGGCCCTTTTGGGTGGATTTGGGGCCATTTTTGCTGATTTTTGAGCTGTTTTTGACAGGGATTTTTGGGAGTTTTTTGGGGTGGGGTTTTTGGGGCGATTTTGGGGTGATTTGGGGGTGATTTTGGGGGTCCTGACCCCCCAAATTCTGCCCCCAGGGAGCTGCCAGGCCTGGCCCAGGCCAGGATTTGGGGCCATTTTTGATGATTTTTGAGCCGTTTTTGATGGAATTTTGGAGTTTTTTGGGGTGGGGTTTTTGGGGTGATTTTGGGGTGATTTGGGGGTGATTTTGGGGGTCCTGACCCCCCAAATTCTGCCCCCAGGGAGCTGCCAGGCCTGGCCCAGGCCGGGATTTGGGGCCATTTTGGGTGGATTTGGGGCCATTTTTGATGATTTTTTGAGCTGTTTTTGATGGGATTTTGGGAGTTTTTTTGGGTTTTTTTGGGGGGGTGATTTTGGGGTGATTCTGGGGGTCCTGACCCCCCAAATTCTGCCCCCAGGGAGCTGCCAGGCCCTGGCCCAGGCTGGGATTTGGGGCCATTTTTGATGATTTTTGAGCCGTTTTTGACAGGATTTTTGGGAGTTTTTTGGGGTGGGGTTTTTGGGGTGATTTTGGGGTGATTTTGGGGGTCCTGACCCCCCAAATTCTCCCCTCAGGGAGCTGCCAGGCCTGGCCCAGGCCGGGATCATGCGGATGCTGTTCCTGGAGCAGCCCCTGCCCCAGGCGGCCGTGGGGCTCTGGGTCAAGAAGGAGCACAGCAGGTGGGGCTGGGGGCATTTTGGGGGGTCCTGGGGAGGTTTTGGGGGGTCCTGGGGTGGATTTGGGGGAATTTTGGGTGATTTAGGGGCATTTTTGGGGCTATTTTGGGGGTCTCAGGGATAGTTTTGAGGTATTTTGGGGTGACTTTTTGGGCTATTTCAGGGTGATTTTGTGTGAATTTAGGGCTGTTTGGGGGTGATTTTGGGGCTGTTTTGTGTGATTTTGTGGCTGTTTTGGGGCGATTTTCTGTGATTCTGGGGCTGTTTTGGGGCGATTCTCGGTGATTTTGGGGTGATTCTCTGTGATTTTGTGACTGTTTTGGGTGATTTAGTGGCTGTTTTGGGGTGATTTTCTGTGATTTTGGGGTGATTTTGGGGCGATTCTCTGTGATTTTGGTGCGATTTGTGTAATTTTGTGGCTGTTTTGGGGCGATTCTCAGTGATTTTGGGGTGATTTGTGTAATTTTGGGGCTGTTTTGGGGCGATTCTCGGTGATTTTGGGGTGATTTTCTGTGATTTTGGGGTGATTTTGGGCGATTCTCTGTGATTTTGGGGTGATTTTCTGTGATTCTGGGGCTGTTTTGGGGCGATTCTCGGTGATTTTGGGGTGATTTTCTGTGATTTTGGGGCGATTTTCTGTGATTTTGGGGTGATTTTCTGTGATTTTGGGGTGATTTTTGGGGCGATTCTCAGTGATTTTGGGGTGATTTGTGTAA